ATGTTCTGGAGGGTTACAACCAAAGAAACACCTACCCAGCAAAACTGAGCATAATCCTTCAGGGGGAAAATAGATATTCAATAAAATAGAGAACTTTCAAGCTTCTTGATTAAAGACCAGAGCTGAATAGAAATTTTGACTTTCAAATACAAGATTCAAGAGAAGCATAAAAAGGTAAACAGGAAAGGGAAATCATAAGAAAATTAATAAGATGAAACTATTTACATTCCTACATAGGAAGATATTTGTAACTCCTAAGAACTTTCTCATTATTAAGGCAATTAGAAGAAGTATATATAAACAGAGGGCACAGGTGTGAGTGGAATATAAAGGGATGATATCTAAAAAAATAAAATTAAAAAGTTAGAGAGGAATGAACTTAGAAGAGGAGAAGGAGAGAAGAAGAATGAAGTAAATTATCTCACAAAAAAAGAGGCAAGAAAAATATTTTGCAGTGGAAGGTGGTGAGGGAGAGGGAGTGAACCTTACTCTCATCAGAATTGGCTCAAAGAGGGAATAACATAACACACTCAATTGGGTATAGAAATCTATCTTACCCTACAGGATAGTAGGAGAAGAAGAGGATAAGAGAAAGGAGGCTGGGGGGCATAATAGAAGAGAGGACAGATTGGGGGAGGGAGTAGTCGAGAAGCAAAATACTTTTGAGGAGGGACAAGGTAAAAGGAGAGAGAGAATAGAATAAATGGGAGGGGGCAAAAGTAACTGTGAAAAAAATATGAAGCAAGTTTCTCTGATAAACACCTCATTTCTCAAACACAAAGAGAACTGAGTCAAATTTATAAAAATAAGAGCCACTCTCCTATTGACAAATGATCAAAATACATGATCAGCTTTCAGGTGAAGTAATCAAAGCTATCTATAGCCATATGAAAAAAAATGCTTTCAATCACTAATGATTGGAGAAATGCAAATTAAAGCAATTCTGAGGTACTACCTCACACCTATTAGATTGGCTAATAGAACAGGAAAGGAAAATGACCAATGGAGGGGATGTGGGAAAAATGGGGCACTAATGCACTGTTGGTGGAGTTGTGAACTGATTCAACCATTCTGTAGAGCAATTTGAAACTATGCCCAAAAGGCTATAAAACCATGTATAACCTTTGACTTAGCAACACCACTACTAGGTCTGTATCCCAAAAGAGATAAAAAACAAAAAGGAAAAGGACCTATATGTACAATGCACAATGTACATATGTGCATCTCTTTTCTGAGGAGAAAGACTTAGAAATTGAGGGCATGCTCATCAATTGGGGAATGACTAAACAAGTTGCAGTGTGTGATTGTGATGGAATACAATTGTGCTTTGGGAAATGATGAGTGAGATGATCTCAGAAAAGTCTGAAGAGACTTCCATGAGCTGATTCAAAGTGAAATGTACTGTGTACAAAGTAACAGCAACATTGTAGGATGATTGGCCGTGAATGATTTAGCTATTCTCAGCAATACAATGATCCAAGACAACTTTGAAGGAATTATGATTTAAAAAAGTGATCCATCCCCAGAGAGGGAAATCATGGTGTCTGAGTACAGACTGAAGCATACTTTTTTAACTTTATTTTTCTTGAGGGTTTTTTTTCCCGTCTGTATTTTCTTTCACAACATAACTATTATGGAAATGTTTTGCATGACTACACATGTATAAGCTATAACAAATTGCTTACCTTCTCAATGAATGGGGGTGGGAGGGAAGAAAGAAGAGAATTTGGAATTCAAAGTTTTAAAAACGAATGTTAAAAATTATTTTTTACACATAACTGGGGAGAAATAAAATACTAAACAAAATCTCTGGACACTTCATTCTCCAGGTCTTTTTGGTGTATGTCAACTTGGCATTAAAACATGAGTTTGGAAAGGAAAAAGAGTGAGACGAGGAAAAACACGAGGGAACCCTCCAACCTATATGGCCTTTGTCTTCTGGGTGACTATCTGAAAGATTAACAAAGGGCACGGCATTTTTAACACAGGCTGAGATGTTTAAATCATTCCCCTTTCAGCCAGGGAAAAACACTTCTCTTTCTCATATTATTATATCAAGGGTGACACAGAGCATGTCCTTGAGCATATGTATTACACATCGATTTAGTGTAGCATTTGCCTGACCACACATTCAAGTAAATGTTGCACAGGGTAGCAGGCAGAAGCAACAACCCAGATTAGAATCAAACCATAGCAGCCATGCCTCTTTGGCCACTAGAAAGGCTGATATCAGTGTTCATCTGTCTTAAGACATTTCTTGGCCTGTGTGTACCCTACAGATATTTCAATACAATGGTGTGCTTTCTTGTTTTTCTTTTTTGACACATTTAAATGCCAGTGCCAATCTCTGAGTTAGAACACAGAACATGAACATTTTTGCCCAGAGTGTGAATACAAGCTGTATGTACATAGAGGTGAATATGGGCTGGCCAATCACAAGGGAAATAAGTAGCATTAACTTAACAGTGTGATAACACAGTCCTGCTGCCAGCTGACATTTACTCACATGTTTAAAGTTCCCCTCTCCAGGCCTATTTTTAAATCTTAGAATCATAGAATGGTAGAGCTCTAAGGGAGCTTAGAGGTCATTTACTCTAAATCCTCTTCTTAGTGAATGGAAAACGAGGCATTGAGAAGTGACACCCAAGGTCAAGCACTTGTCCTTTTTCACTTTTCGACACCCTCTTTGACTCTATGTAGTAACAAACTGTAAAATGAAGTGATTGGACTAGAGGACATCCCACTAAGTTCCCTTCCAGTGCTAAATCTATAATCCTCTGATAGACGTAGAAATTGGTATGAATAGAAGAGTGTAATTTAGACACTGAAGAAAAGAAATTGCTGGACTTAGAAATACTATTCTCAACATATATTTTTTTAAAAGTGTTTCTACAAAAAGCAAATTCCACTTGCAGAATGTCTGACAGGTCCTTCCGGTTATATAGAAAAATAGCTTCCTATCAAGTTAGTTCTATCCACTTCAGTTCTTTAGAATCCCCGAGCTATGAGAACTATGGAAACTCATAGCTCACTTCTCCAATTTGGTATTATGTGAGTAAACTTCTCTCCAAAAAATGGGACAAGTTACCTAAGAGACAGCCTCAGACTATATGCAAACAGGCTGAGATGCTCCAGAGCAGGGAATGAGCCTATGAGCTCAAACACTTTTCTTCTCTAGCGGTCTAGTTAAAGTTTTATTACTGCTGCAACGAAGTAGGCAAAGGTTGCAGACTGACAATCATCTGAGTCATCAACACAAGAAAGATAGCTGCCAGCCATAGTTCCCCTTCCTCTCTAACAATACCCAAAAATCATTGTGGAAGAAAGTATGTGGCAATAGCCAGCTGAGAGATAGAGTTTTTGACATCAACTAATAACTGATCACCAATGATTCCTACTCTGTGTGTTCCTTAGGCCCCTGCTTAAGAAAATGATAATGTAATTAGAAGCACTTTTCAAAGATTATAGTTAATTACAAAATGTCATTTCTAGATAGAAGTTTTAATGGTAAAAGGCCTGAGGTAGGTATTTTGGCCTTACCATAATAACATGTGATATTAAAAGAAGCTCCAAAACATTCCAAGAAAGTAGAGCAGCGGATTTCCAAGGCTCCCTTGCCTCCATACAGAATATATCAATCTCCTAGAAGTTTCCTGGCCAGACATCTGGCCCAGATTAGCACCTGTAAATATTCTCCGTGGACTATCTATATCAGAATACCCCTGGTGCTTCATAAAGCTAATTCAAGGTTCAGAGGTTTACATGGAGAGTTCTGCATATTCATAATTTCCTCAAACATTCACGTCATTCTGTAGAGGTGCTCCACAGAACAATATGATTGCTCTGACCCTATACTAACAATATCCTGATGCCTTTTCTGGAAAAGCAAAAGAGTGGCCAGACGCCCCAGGAGACATCCAAATGTCACCTACTCCCATTCCAGCATCCATCCCATGTTAGCTTTCTTCCGTACTCCCACCTCTATCTGCTCTTCTCTAATAATGCACAATTATCAGAGTGAAAAGCCAGAAGCTTTATAATTTAAAATCCCTTTAAAATCTAACTCACTATTTAACAAATCTGATTATTAAGATTATAGATTTGGAACTAAAAAGGGCCTCAGAGGCCATCTCATCCAACCCCATCATTTTACTGATGGGAAAGAGGCTAAAGCCAGGAGAAATGAAGTAGCGTGCCTACGGTCGCAGAGATAGTAGGTGGCCAGATTTTAACCCAAGTCTCGTCCTTGGGATGTAGAGCCAGAGTTCTTTCAACTACACAAAGCTCCCTCATATGTGGAAAGTAGTTATTAAAACTTGTTAAATTTTCCAAACTCAAGTAACTCAGGGCATTATATGTTGTAGAAAAGCAAAACATAAGCCAATATAAAAATATAGCATATATGTGGTATTTAATAATGAACTAATAAACTACACATATATGAAATCTTTTGTTTCATTGCATTTAAACCATTTAAGGTTTGAGGTTTTTTTTTTCTTTTCATTTAAAGCCAAATTATTCCACATCTTCACATAACCATTCAGCCATGAATTTTATTTGCTTTATTTTAAGCTTTTCTTTGCAAATTACATCCCAGTGTATTTCATTTTAACATCTAGATAAAACTTCAATTAAATTATATAGCATTAGATTACAAATCCAAGAGTATCACTGAAAGGGAAATTATGTTTAGAGGTACATTTGGCCTTCACACTCATGGTTCCCACTGAGGTTAATTTAATATGACTCCAACAGGAGGGCTTCCAATAGTATTTTTACACAAACACCTAAAGGTAACATGAGCCCTAAGGCCTGCACATACACATAACCTTAATGTTTCTTTCTGGCTGGACAGTTGTAAATACAAATAAGATTCTGTACACTATTCAACCTGACATAAAAATGCTAACACAATGCTTTTAAGGGAAGGTTTTATTCTAAAAGCAATATTCTAAAGGAGGGCAGGTAACAAATAGGACCAATAAATAAATTGTAATTACCAAACACAGTTCTAGCTGGAACAGATTCTTTATTTATCCAGAAAGAAACTTGAGAAAGAATCACAGTCATGATGCATGGGATATATGTCTGAATCATGAAATAACCCATTTTCCTTCTGAGATGGAAGTAAACTGTCATAACAATGTATTCACCTACAAATAAAACAGGAGGAAAATATGTTACTGACTCTGCATGCCATTTATTTCCACATGCATATTTCAGACCATCAATTTGTATCTGAAATAATATCATCATCTAAGCTTTGAGACACAAACCAGAGGCTGTGTATGTGTGTGTGTGTGTGTGTGTGTGTGTGTGTGTTTCAGAAAGAGATGCTGAAAGGAGGCTGAACATCACCTTTTTTTTTTCAGTGTGATAATCTGTTGACTTAATGTTTAGGGCTAATAATGACAATGCTTTTTTGGGTGAGGAATTACTGCATAATGAGTTCTTAGCTAAGCTCATTTAGCACTTAAAGGAATGATGGTACACATATACAGCACATTCTGCAGGATTCTAATTATTTACCTGGAAAATTATAGATTAAACTTCATTAATTTAGATGGATATATTGATAACAATGGGAATTTGTGTTTGTTTTGTTTTGTTTTTTATTTTATTTTATTGGGGGAGGGAGGCTGAAGGAGAATTCTAGACCTGATATTTCATATGTGTAAGGAGCTCATTGTGTGGAAACTTCCTCCATTAAAGACTGGCAATTCTGTGACTAAACGTCTTAGAAAGTTTCCTGGGGCACTAAATGTTTAAGTGACTTTCCCACAGTAACAGAGTTAGGATGAATTGGAAGCAGGAGTTAAAGGAGTGTTCCTTACTCCAAGGCTGGCTCTCTCTTTAATGGTCCAAATCACTTCTCCTAAGAATTTAGGTCAACAATTTCAGCCAAGAACTTTATTTATCTATGTTATAACATTTGAAATGAAATAGATATAGCTACATATGTGATCAGTTATAATTTTACCATGCTTTTTAATTTGCTTTAAAAAAAATTGACCTAATAAAGAAAAACAAACATTTGGATTCCTATTATCTATCAAAAAAAAGTATTAATAAGGTAATTTTAAAAGACCAAATACAAAACTCCCATAAAGAAAGTTTTGGGAGGAAACTGTGATTCCCATTAACTGACTATATAAGCTAAGGTTTCAGAAGATGTCCACGTATTTTTAAAGTAGTATCATCCAGCCAGAAACTGGATAATTCATTTTTAGAAATGCATATGAGGTAAGTGAGCTTAGGTCTAAAAACTGAGAAAGAAGAATCATTTTTAACTCACTAGTTGGTGTTTTCCTTTTAAATAAACTAAAATCAAATATTTCATCCTTTTTCCCATAAATTTAAAGAGCACAGATAGTATAAACACCTTTTATACTTGTCAACCACATCTTCTCTAGGGACAACTTTAAAGTACTACCTTAAAGTTCCTTGTACATGGCTCTCTATCATTTGCTCTTCTAAATCAGAAGAAGAATTACAAATTAAGCAAGATAAAGATGGCTCTGTGAAAGCATAAGACCTGCAGAATAGCCTTTATCCTAGCTATCTGAAAAAATAAAAATGTCCCCTGAACTTTGCATGTGTGTTTCAATGATCATGATACACCTTTTTCTAACCTTTCCAACTGGTAACATCATCTGGTTTCCTTGATGGACTTATTACTCAAATATCAAACAGATCTTTTAATGAGTTTAAGAATACAAGTCAAAAGAAAGAAAACCTAAGATATGCTTTCTATGCCATTCTGCTTTTGGAGGCTTTATCAGAATCCCCTGTAAACAACAGGTAAGACAAAACTGCATTGCAGATGCTATATCCCAAGTTCATTCTAATAGGTAGTCATCTTACCTGTAATAGATTTGATGGTTTCACTGGACACTGTTTGCCCAACCAGGTCATACTGAACTAAACTGGAAGACTCTTTTGGAACTTCCACAGACTTCTCAGGACCTTTCGTCCAGGTATAAATCATCTCACTCTTTGGGTAAGCATCTAGACAGCAACATAGGGTAAGGGATTAGGTTGAGGGTTCCAGTCCCAATCAGTTTTACACATGGACAGGCTGAGCTAGCTAAGAATAGCAAAAACAAAAATTGCTGGAAAACAACAACCTTTCAACTTATTTGAGGTCAGCTTTAAGTCTCCAAGAAGTCTGATATCTAAATAAGCCCTGCAATTCAGCAGGATTCCTTTTGTTCAGGTCAAAGGAAAATAAACTAAAATGCTGTGTCTGCATCACTGCACCTGGAAATGTGCAGTCCATCTAAAATCTTTTCTATTAAAGTTAAATAAACCTGTTCCTTCCTCTCTCTCATCTCTGACTCCTCTCTGATATTGGACCATAACTTATTTCTTCCACATTAATGCAAAAATTGCCAATAAGAAAAATACCAGATGCTATTTATAACAAAGGATGCTATTGTTGGAAGAGATCTCCAGGGGTCACCTAGTCCAGCCCACTGCCTCTGGGCAAAGCACACTGCATCTAAACCACTCTACACAGATGACTGCCTATGCCTTTTTTTTAAAGCTCTCCAGGGAATGAGATTATATAAACAGTTGCACTACCTTTGAACCTTTACAATCAGGATATCTTCCCTTACATCTACCATAAATCCCAGTAGCTATAATTTAAATCCATTTCCTCTTGTACTGTTATCAGTGTAAATAAATAACAACTGCTTACCACTCTCCCAAGAGAATTTCCTAGCTCTGATACAAGCCAATCCAACATTATGAACATGGAGCATTGACTTCATGGCTGAGACTAGACAGAAGTGCTATTTGACCCTACCCTACATGAGACTGTCTGTTCTGAAAAACTAACCAAAAAAATAAAAAACACTTTATAAATTACATGAGGAACAAAATATGAAGCTATCTGTCTTCAATTTACAACTATGTAACCAAAATTTACCTATGGCAATTTCAAAGGCTTTTATTAATATTGTCAAGGCCCCACTGTGCTCTGTACCTCAGATAGCACACTCTTCTGATTCTCCTTCTCCTTCTCTAACCACTCCTCTTCTCCCTAAGCTTTTCATTTGGTAGTTCCACAAAGGTGTCTCCTTGAACCTCTGCCCTCCTCCCTTAGAATTCTTATTTGCTTCCATGCTTCAATAATCTATGAAGAATGAATGAATGAATGAATGAATGAAAAAGCATATGAGCCCAGTATGTATCTCCCAGATCTAAATCTTCTAGACCTTCCTTCTAAGCTTCAGACTGGAATTTCCTGGATGAGTACTTCATACTCAATATGTCAAAAATAGAGCTTATCATCTTTCCCCCTAAACCTGCCTTTCCTTCTGAATCTCATTCTTCCTATCTGTGGTACTAATTGGTCCCCAATTTTTGTAACCTTCAGAACCTCTAGATTTTTGATACTTCCCTTTCCTTTACCTCTCACAGCCAATCAGTAAAAAAAGGGTCTTCTAGATTCTAACTCTACAGCATGTCTCAAATTCATAGCCTTCTCTTGATTCCTACTTCTGTTGTTTGTTTTATTTTTAATATTTTGATGACTGCATTTGAATACAACTGGTTTCCTTTGTAATATTACACATTTTATTTTATACACTTAAAATCCTTATTCTGAGGAGTCCTTAGACTCTGCCAAACCACTGAAGGGGGCCATGATATATACAAAAAGTGGATTAAGAACCCCTGCTCTAGAGAAAGTCCTCTTTGGCACCTCAGACCTTCTTGCCTGCACTCATTTCCCCTTTAATCTGTCCTTCATACTAATGATAGAATAAGCTTTCTTGGATTACATCTATGTACATCACTTTCCCTGCTCAAAAACCATAGTTGTTTTCTCCTCCTTCTCACAATTAAAGTTCAAGATATTAAAAGCCATCCATAACCTGATCTTCCTTTCCAGCAATATCTCCTATTATTCCCCTTTACCTGACATTCAAAGCCATCTGCAACCTGACCTACAATTTCATCATTATCTGCTATAATCCCTCTCCACACACTCTTATGTTCCAATCAGACTGTACAGCTCTGTAGTCACTGGGGAGTTCTCTTCCTTCTCAACATGCATCATACTATCATGCTTCTCCACTCATGCCAAGGCTTTCCCTTCTGTCTAGAAGGTGCTTTTCCCCTCTCTTTCCCTACTGAAGTCCTAGCCATCCTTTAAAAATAAACCCAACTCCAGCTTCCCCTTGGTAATCTTCCCTAATATCCAACACATTGCAAGTTATTTTTTTCCTCAGAGTTCTCCTAGCCCTTTTTTTTTTGCATTCTAATTCTCTCATCAAATTGGATTGCCTACTATAACTATATGCATCTGTGTCTTATTTCTCTTAAAAGATTGTAAACTTCATCCTTTTAATCATCTCTCTATCTGAAGCAAATTACAAAAATCACCAGGAAAGTGTTTGATACAGTTTTAGCAAATTTCCATTTGTAATTAACAAAAAATAATAATTAAAAAACAATGATGGCTGCTACTAAAAAAAAAACTAATCAACCAACAAATAATTATTAAGTAGTTTTTATGTACCAGGAATGACACTAGGTACTAGAGATGCAAAGAAAAAAATCCATTCTGTCAGTGTGTGCCTGTGTGTTATAGCTATACATGTATAAAATTTGTTTCAAGATTATCAACATATGTATAAGTACATTTATATATAAACATTTACTCACATATGCATATACGTATGTGTTTGTATGTTCCTTAGATACGAAAATAGAAAAGTACTTTAAAACAGGCACATAATATTGTGCCTATTTTACACAAATGCTTGTTGAATGAATGGAAGAGAAGAATAAGCACTGGTAATAAGTAACATGCTCTTTACTTCATTCTCACAATAGCAACAAATGTTTTAAATTTAAAATAGAGGCCAATGAATTGTTTTCCCAATGCTATCTAGGAGAAATTGCATAGGGCAAGGGAAATTTATGTGGATGTGGTATCTGGATCTTAAGGTCATGTTTCCATAATGAAGTCAACTAAATGCTGTCTCCACAGGCAAAGGCTCCCTCCAAATTCTGGGAAACTAAGTTTATGCAACCACTAACTTGTTCTACACTGATATTTAATAAAGAAGAAGTCATGACAGTAGGTAGCTTCCTATGAGCACCAGGACTGCAAACTAGATTTTGAATTACTCTGAATCATAATCAGTACTTGAATTAAAAGGTAGCATGAGGTAGAATACTACTCACTTCATTTCATAAGATGCTAAAACTATCCTGTTGCCATTTTTCAGACTTGTGATAAATCACTTCATTTGCTTATTAATTTTCTCCTAAAGCAACTGAATGACCACAGAGTAGCCCTAACCCTATCCCATAAGTCCCTTGTGCTTATACAGAAAAACTGAACAGCCAACCTGAAAGCTGATATGGCAGGATTCTATCGTTCCTTCCACCCAAATTGTCAGCAGATACAAAGCCTCAAGAGTCCTTCAAAAATATTTTTGCCACTTTGTTTGAAGATTATCAGCTTATGGATGATATATTGAAAACCCAGTCTTTCACAACTTGTGTTGATTTTGCTTCTCAGAAAAATTTGAAACCTTTTCTGTGATAATAAATACGACATTTTATCCGTCCTGCCAAACAACAAGGCTTGCAACCTTGGAGTGATCCTTGACCCTTCCCTCTCATTCACACTCCGTGGAATTGAATGGGTAAGCTTTTTAAGCACTTGCTGTGTTCCGATGTTTAGGAAAATAAATAGAAAAAAAATACTATCCCTGTTCTCAAAAATCACATTCGAATCAGAAAAGACTACACATATATAGTATATAGCCATATTCCATCATTTAACAAGTCTTGTTGATTCTTCCTCCACAATATCTCTCAATCTGCCTCCTTCTCTTCAGTCCTATAGTCTCTGCCGTACTTCACATCCTCCATACCTCTTGCCTGGACTATTGCAAACAGCCTCTAAATTAGTCTCCCTACTTCTTATCTTTCCCATCTCCAATCCATTCTTCTTACAGTTGGAAAATTAATATTTCTAAACAAAGATTTGGCCATATCACTTGTCCCACTCGAAATCTTCAATGGTACTGTATCTTATAGTACATTAAAAAAAATCTTCAGCCTAACTTTTAAGGGCCTCAACAATCTACCTGCCACCTACCTTTCCAGTCATTTGTCATTATTTTCTTTTATACATTCATCATTCCAGTCAAACTGGCCTACTCTCTGTTCCCCCTGCATAGTATTCCATCTACTACCGCCATACTTTTGCAAGTTGGTTTCCACTGCCTTGAAAGCCATCTCTTAGAATCTCTAGTTCTCTTCAAACTTCAATACTACCTCATCTCTTATGATGCCCCTCTAGCTGTTAAGGCCACCTTTCCCTTGAAATTACTTTTGTAATTTCATATTTTTGAATTTTGTACTTTTGTATTTGAATATATGTGCATATGTTATACCCTGGTCTATGACCCCCAGTAGAATGTATGATACATAAAGATTAAAAACTCTTTGGTTTTCTGTCTTTATATCTACAATGCCTAGTGTGCCTTACAAATAATAGGTACTTTATAAATCTTATTACTGAATTCAATAGTTAATTAAAAGAAGCTTCATGATTTTAACTTACAACTCCCAAATTTCAAGGGACATGCATGACCATCCATGGGGAAATCCACTAATCTCATAGGGCACTCTGCACTTATGGTAAGCCTACAATGAAACAAATAGAATCAAAAAGATTTAATCATTTTCATAATCATCTTTATTTCTTAGCATGCATAAAATAAAAGAAAGAGTTGATCACCTCATTGTGTATAAAATGGTGCCATTTCTCATAATTCTAAAGAGCTTGTTTGGGGCTGTCATATTATGGGAGACAGATTTTTTCCCATTCCTGAAGAAAGTATCAGGTGTCCACACTTTAGTTACCATCATATTGTTCAGCCTTAAAATTTCAATAGGGCCATCATATTTTAGTCTTTTGTCAATCCATGTTTGCCGAAAGAAGACATCCATTGTGTATTCCTGGGTGAGCAAACCACAGCAACCCCAAACACAAGTTATTATACATAAATTAACAAGAGAATAGATAAGCACATATGCACACATGCACACAAAACCACACAAGCAAAATCAAATCAATAGAAGACATTTACAAATGGCAATGACAAAGCGTTCCAGCAATTAAAACATGTTATATATGTCTTGATACTTCAATTCCCTGAATTAGTCAGATAAAGAAATCATCATACATATTTAATCACTCAAGAATAATTACTATAATTCAATAAGATTGCAAGAAGGTGGCAATTACACTTTTACTCTAATATTATATACATATACATATATATCAGGAAATAAAATGAGATAATGAATAACAAATGTCACTAGGTTTTTTAGAAGAGTAAAGTAAAAGAATAAAGTAAATCAACAACTAAAAAAGTTTTATGCACAACAAATTAAAATTAGAAATTAGATATTCAAGTATTTTAAATCATGTACACCTGACTTAAAGGTACTACCAACCATCCACTGTGCACGTCAAACATCTTTATGTAACCTTAAGAGCACACACTTAAATAGATGAATTCATTCTGACATCTACCAGAGATTGGTGTATTGGGCTCTTCAAGAATTAAGGGGGAAAAAAAACATACAACTGGGCCAAAATGAAATGCTAAAATATGGCCCCTCAGGACTGTGAGATAGCTTTGTGCCAGAAACAATTTCAGTTGTTATAATCTCTAATTTTCTCCATCCCAGTGGTTTTCACAGAGGAAAAAAAAAAATCAACTCATAAGATTGTCGTATGGGGAGCAGTAACAATAAACTTCTTTCCTTTTGTAGAAAATGAATCCAGGCAAAAACATACTGAAATGTTAGGGTTGAAATGCAAATTCTGTGACCTCCTTTTGACAAATGTATGGGTCTGATTACTCACTCTAGAAACAGAGCTGCTCTTACTCTCCTGATTGACAGTGAAATAAACATCCATTTCCTTCTGTTGTGCATGGTTTCTCCTAACTACAGAAAGCTATTTTAAATTTCTCCCAACACCTACCATTTCCACATCAGAAACAGGCCCAAAGCTGGTGACATATATGTCCGTTTTCACTTCTGTAACAGGACCTAGTAGATAGAGAATAGATAAGTGTGAAAAAATAATCATTAATTTTGCAAGATAACTGGATGAAAAGAAATAATAGAAAAATACACAAAGCTCTTTGTAATTACTGCCTTAAAGTTTCTAGGAGATAAACATCACTAAAAAGTAGAGACAATTTTTACAAATATACACAGATGCAGGCAATAATACTCAATTAAAGTCAGAAGTAAAATCCCAATTACTTACCAACAAAGTTATTGGTATACTATATCAAAGAATCTAGAGGTAAAAGAGCCCTCAGAGACCATTCAGGCCAACTCCTTCATTTTACTGATGAGGAAATTGAGACTCAGAAAAGTCAGTCAAATGAAATACCCAAGGTCACACAGAAGATTTGAACCCAAATCTTCCTTTTCAAAATCCAGTCTTTCTTTCCAGTACTGCACACTGTCTCTTAAGATTTTAACACTACTAGAACCCCAGAAATAGTTAAATCCATATAAAATATATATAACTGAGGCTTAGCAATGCCATTCTGATTATTTCTCAAAGAAAGCAATATCCACAAATACCTTAGTGTTAACACTATCTTAGTAAGTGTGTTTCTACAAATATATGTTGTCTGTGACAACTGCTATGTTAGTTAAGATCTCTCAAGTTAACTAGGCATTAATCTTCACAGAAACATGAATATTAATAAATTGCTCAGAGACAGGAAACAAGGATGGATATGAGGATCAGTTGAAAGTATTAGGGATGTATAGCTTGGAGCAGAGGAGCAATGGACAGAATGAATAATGGACTCAAAGTCAAGAAGACATGAATTTGAAATCTCATCACAGAGTCACTAGAGATATTATCATCGGCAAGTCATTTAGTTTCTCTCAGATTCAGTTTTCTCACCTGTAAAATGGGGATAATAATATCACCTCCTTGAGAGTGTTATGTGAGGATCAAATAAGATAATGTGTGGAAATCATCTGTCATACTTTAAAGCACTCTATAAGTACTAGTTGTCTTCACATTTTTAATTAATTTATTTTGATTTATCAACAATCACTTCCACATGCTTTTGAGTTTAAAATTTTTCTCCCCCTCCCTCCCCACCTTCCTCTGCATTTCTTTTTATTAGTTCCCTTGATATTCTAGACCTTTTGGTATTCCCCACGACAGCACACAATCTGATACAAGCTATACACATACATTCCTACTAAACATACTTTCACATTAGTGATGTTATAAGTAAGAATTACAACCAATAGGAGGAACCACCAGAAAGAGGAAACAAAACTCAACAGAGGGAAAAAAAATAGCAAACAGTATGAGTCGATCTGCATTCAAACTACATAGTTTTTTCTTTGGATGTGGATAGCATTTTCCATCACGAGGGCTTTGGAAATGTCTTAGATACTTGTATTGCTGGGAAGGGTTAAGTTTATCAATATTAGTCATTGCACAATGTGGCTGTTATTGTGTACAACATTCTCCTGATTCTGCTCACTTCACTCAGTATCAGACCATACAAGTCTTTCCAGGTTTTTCTGAAGTCAGCCTGTTCATTATTTCTTACAGCACAATAGTATTCCATTACATTCATACACCACAACTTGTTCAGCCATTCCCCAATTGATGGGCATCCTCTCAATTTCCAGTTCTTTGCCACCACAAAAAGAGTTGGTATAAATATTTTGTACATGTGGGTCCTTTTCCCATTTGTATTATATCTTTGGGATATAGCCCTAGAAGTGCTATTGCTGGGTCAAAGAGGTTGTACATTTTTATAGCCCTTTAGGCATAGTTCCAAATTGCTCTCCAAAATAATTAGATCATTTCACAAATCTACTAACAATGCATTAGTGTTCAATTTTCCCACATCTTCTCCTATATTTATCATTTTCTTGTTTTGTCATCTTGGTCAATCTGATAGGTGTGATGTGGTACCTCAGAGTTGTTTTGATTTGCATTTCTCTAATTAATAGTGATTGAGAGCATTTTTTCATATGAGTATAGATGGCTTTAATTTCTTCATCTGAGAACTGCCTACTCATATCCTTTGACCATTTATCAATTGGGGAGTGACTTGTATTCTAATAAATTTGACTTAATTCTCCATATATTTCAGAAATGAGGCCCTTATCAGAGACACTGGTTGTAAAAATTATTTCCCAATTTTCTACTTTCCTTCTAATCTTGGTTGCACTGGCTTTGTTTGTGCAAAAACTTTTCAATTTAATGTAATCAAAGTTACCCATTTTGCTTTTTGTAATATTCTCTATCGCCTGTTTGGTCATGAATTCTTCTGTTCTCCATAAATCTGCTAGGTAAACTATTTCTTGCTCTCCCAGTTTACTTATGGTATCAGCCTTTATATCTAAATCATGAGCCCATTTTGACTTTATTTTGGTATATGGTGTGAAATTTTGATCTATGCCTAGTTTCTGCCATACTCTTTTCCAGTTTTCCCAGCAGTTTTTGTCAAAGAGTGGGTTCTTATCCCAGAAGCTGGGGTCTTTCGGTTTATCAAATAATGGATTACTATAGTCATTGACTACTATGTCTTGCATACTTAACCTATTCCACTGATCCACCATTCTATTTCTTAGCCAGTACCAAGCAGTTTTGATGATTGCTGCTTTATAATACAATTTAAGATCTGGAATGGCTAGGCCACCTTCTCCTACATTTCTTTTCATTAGTTCCCTTGATACTCTGGTTATGATTTTTTCTAACTCCATAAAACAATTTTTTGGTGGCTTGGTATGGCACTGAATAAGTAAATTAGCTTAGGTAGAGTTGTAATTTTTATTATATGAGCTCAGCCTACCCATGAGTAACTGATGTTATTCCAATTATTTAGATCTGATTTTATTTGCGTGAAAAGTTTTTGGTAATTGTGTTCATAGAGTACCTGGGTTTGTTTTGGGAGGTAGACTCCTAAATATTTTATAATGTCTACAGTAAATTTAAATGGAACTTCTCTTTCTATCTTGTGCTTTTGGCCTTTGTTGGTAATACATAGAAATGCCAAAGATTTATGTGGGTTTATTTTGTAGCCTGCAACTTTGCTAAAGTTGTTTATTATTTCAAGTAGTTTTTTACTTGATTGTCTAGGATTCTCTAAGTATATCATCATGTCATCTGCAAAGAGTGATAGCTTTGTTTCTTCTTTGACTGTTCTAATACCTTCAATTTCTTTTTCTTCTTTTATTGCTAAAGCTAACATTTCCAGTAGGATGTTGAACAACAGTGGTGATAATGGACATCCTTATTTTACCCTGATCTTATTGGAAATGCTTCTAACTTGTCCCCATTACATATGATGCTTGCTGAAGGTTTTAGGTAGATGCTATTTATCATTTTAAGGAAGACTCCATTTATTCCTATGATCTCTAGTGTTTTTAATAGGAATGAGTGTTATATTTTGTCAAAAACTTTCTGCATCTATTGAGATGATCATGTGGTTTCTGTTAGTTTTGGTGTTGATATGATCAATTATGCTGATAGTTTTCCTAATATTGAACCAGCCCTGCACTCCTGGTATAAATCCCACCTGATCTTAGTGTATTATTCTTTGTGACAAGTTGCTATAATATATTTGCTAATATTTTATTTAAAATTTTTGCATCTATATTCATTAGAGAAATTGGTCTATAATTTTCTTTCTTTGTTTTGACTCTTCTTGGTTTAGGTATCAGCACTATATTTGTATCATAAAAAGAAAGACTCCTTCTTCACCTATTTTACCAGATAGTCTATATAGTATTGGAATTAATTGTTCTTTAAATGTCTAATAGAATTCGCTTGTAAATCCATCTGGCCCTGGAGACATTTTCCTAGGGAGTTCATCAATAGCGTGTTCAATTTCTTTTTCTGAGATGGGGTTATTTAAGTATTTTACTTCCTCTTCTGTTAATCTGGGCAATTTATATTTTTGTAAATATGTATCCATTTCACTAAGACTGTCAAATTTATTGACATACAGTTGGGCAATAGTTCCTAATTATTGTTTTAATTTCCTCTTCCTTGCTGGTGGATTCACCCTTTTCATTCTTGATACTAGTAATCTGGTTTTCTTCTTTCTTTTTTTAATAAATTAACCTAAGGCTTATCTATTTTATTGTTTTTTTTCACAAAACCAGCTCTTAGTTTTACTATTTATTAGTTCAATAGTTTTCTTAATTTCAATTTTATTAATTTCTCCTTTGGCTTTCAATATTTCTAATTTGGTGTTTAATTGAGGATTTTTAATTTGTTCTGGTTTTTTTAGTTGCATGCCCAATTCATCGATCTCTTTTTTTTTCTATTTTATTTATGTAAGCATTTAGAGATATAAAACTTCCCCTAAGAACTGCTTTCGCTGCATCCCATAAGTTTTGGTATGTTGTCCCATTATTGTCATTCTCTTGAATGAAGTTATCGATTGTTTCTATGACTTGCTGTTTGACCCAATCATTTTTTAGGATTAGATTACTTAGTTTCTAATTATTTTTTAGTCTATCTTTCCATGGCCCTCTGTCTTCACATTTTTAAAGGGCTAGCTTCTGGAAAAGGAAATATACTTGTTCTGCTCATTGGAAATCAGAGTTAGCAATAATGGGTAGAAGTTGCAGAGGGGAAAAAAGAAGTTGCAGAGAAAAATTTCAACTTGAGGTAAAGAAAAGCCTCTTGACAACCATAGCTATCAAAAAAAATGGACTACTCAAGAAGGTATTAAGTTCTTCCTCAATTAAGGTATTTTACAAAAGACTGAATGAGCTCTTGTCCCTGAGGCTTATGCAGTCTTTCATAAAATACCTAAATTATATCCTCTGTCAGGTACAGGTTGGACTAGGTATCCTTTTAGATCATTTCCACCTCTGAAATTCTGTGATTTGATCTGATATGAAAAAAAAATCATCAGCTGGTAACACCGACACCTATGTAGATTGGTCATGGAGATGTGGTTAGCAAGTTAAAAAAAAGACAAACATCATTCTGGTAGGGTAATATTATGTTGATGTTTTTCAAAGGAGAATTACTGTGA